ATAAAGTTATAGTTGAACTGCAATTGTGTGAAATTTTAAACAATGCCTGCAACATGTATATTGCAAACATCTTCTCAGGTGCCTTCCTTGTGGCGTGGTAAACTCTCAACACCTGAATCTTTCAATATTGTCCTACTTTCTTTTCTTAGGAATTAATCCCATATTCATTATAATCACTGAATGGTAAGCATTCCTGATGGCTTTAAAATTTAGCATGGGTCTCCCTGCCAAATGCTTAGTAAAAGATGATCCTCCACCTTCCCTTGAATCGTTCTTTAAAATGAAATCCAAAATTTGCCGAATTATTTTGATTAATACATCATCAAAAGCGACCTTCATATTTGTTTTTTCAAAAATCTGATTTTTGTTGTCTACATGAATTGTTTGGTTTCCGTTTTGATTCGGTTTAAAATCTGTCCACTGTGTTGTCTTCCATTACGTTTTCACCCTTGCTGTAAATGTCATCAATGCTTTACCTGTTTAGTTTTATCACACAAACTGTCCTCCTCTTTAATTTCTCAACGTTGCCTGTGAGATATACATGGATACGAAATCTTTGATTTGAAACAACACGATCGAAAATTACACAATACAAATCTAGAGTTCTCATATAATTATGTAACAAAGATAAACGCCTGTATCTCTTTTATGAAAACTGTCATTTTGTAAATACCATCAACCATTACGATATTATAACGAACTGCTGCCGAAAACCGTAGAACACAAATTCTGAAAAATTAGACCTACATCTACTCGTGACATCACGTCGTTTATCTTTGACATCACAATGAAGGCTACATATTCTACTGTTCAATGATAATTCTATCATGCCTTGAATATATGGAATATTGGTCAAAATTGGGATGTTAATGAATTGGCAATATTAATAATATTTTTATGAATGTAATTGTTATGCTGATGTCGCTTAAAACATTGAAAAGAAATGCAGGTATATATATATATATATACACGAAGGGTTCCATTAAAGAAAGCAACGACTTCTGCAACATAAAGCATCTAAATATCCACTATTGTTGTATCTAAAAACCGTTGGCTCTATACAACACAGGTTAGTATCCTTTGTGAAATTATGTCTACGCTGCGGCCTCTTGAATTGTACTGGTCCGTGTGTGGAGGACATTCACGACAACACTTTCTAATATAAATCTATGAATGTGACTGGTGTTGTATTGGAAACCATCATTGTTATAGATCTACTCGTCAAAGGATTTCTACCAAGCTTACTCCCGCCAATATGCCCAGGACGTAAGCTTGTAAAATTCCTTACTACCGACCTCACAAATGACCTGGATGTATCCTACATATTGGTATCGTAACTAAACGTGTAGCAAACAAGGGTTTTAATAGCTGAACAAGACAATTTGTAATTTGTACAAGGAGAGTCACAAGTTGTAACTTTCTTTACATATATAAGGATATATTTTAAAGTTAACATGAAGAACAGCAAGATTCAAGCACACGTTCATTTCTGAATCTTCATGATGCTTAACTAAATAAATTGCCACACTACTGTGATTTTTCCTATTTCATTTATATATTCATAATAGCAATTGCTATCAATCCCATCTTGGAAACGGAGTGTATTGTACGATGTGTTATTTGTAATCATAATTAATATGTTTGAATAGACATTAATGTATTGTATTTTAATCGACAGCGTTTGTCTAGATCAAGCCCCGCGTGATGTATTGTGACGGTGTGATGTAGGACGCATCTTAGTGTGAGAACAACTTGTTGAGTAGTGTGAACGGCTAGACCTCCTGTACTGTGTAATATCATACCAAAATGTTTAATTAGAAAAGTATTTACTTTGACGTTTAACGTGAAAAAGTTAGCAAGTATAGCGTTGCTAAGTGTTACATATTTACCGTAATTTATCACCATGGTGACATAAAAGTATCATTTTGGACATATCTCTTATTTACGAGTTGTGCTTCTATGGGTAATGCGTAGCTTTAAGATAAGATAATGTAGGACAGTCTACCTTCAGATGATCCCCAGACTGTGATGGGATAGCAAGGATAGTACTAACACCACTGCCAATGTTTATGATTGGTTAATTTTAAACGGATACTGGTCGCGTGTTAACTAACCATCATCGGCAACGTTTGAACATTCACTGTTGTGGAAGAACAACTTTCGTCCCCGACAGCCCATTCAGGGCCAAGCCTGTGTGCCACAAAGGAGCAACGCCATTCAATAGTGTTTCCACTCCATGACAAGAGAGATAGTCCAACGCCAATAAAAGGTTACAATACAATTGTAAGCAAATCACTGTCCCCTAACATAATGAAATGATTCCTTGGCGCTTGTTCTGAATAGGATGGGATCTAAACCTTTATCGCTATCAAATTAAAATATTTCTCAACAATGCCTTTAAAATTGATCGTAAATACATTGGTCAGCGTCTTCCAGTGCCTCTATGTAAGCTTAACACAATGATTTCAGTTGGTTCTGTGTAGCATAAACCAGCTAGTGTTATAGTATAGGTTAAGACGAGAATTAAAGGTGTCGTGTTATGAAACTCGTCTATAGAAACTACCAAGTATTATCACTGAAAATTCACGAAAAGCATGCAATTTATTTAGCGGGCAAAACAAACTTGTACGGCTTAAAACGACTATGCTTTCTTATCCCCGGGTAGAGCTTGGACAGTGGTAATTATAAAATGACCACCAAATGGACAAAGGGCGATTGTCATGTGTCGCCAATAAAGCGACTGTTTTGTATAATGTCCTCTGTCCTTCATACGGCGCGTTAGATCAGCGGTTAAACAATGGCGGCCGCCCTCTGACAACTTAACTCGATGTCAGTAGGGATTTATCTGTGGCAAGTGATAGGCAGATTCTGAGAAAACCGGTGTGAGGAGGAAGAGAGCTCTCGGCCATATTGTAAGGGCTGGCAATGCACTGCAAAATAACCGGAACGGGCATCCATGCTATTGCATCAATGTCAATGGGATTTCATTTTGCGCCAATATTAGCAATATTCTCAGCAAATATATAGATGCGTCACATACTGCCTGTAAAATAAAAATTTGCGGACACGGTTTTTAATTAACTTTTTGAAAACATAAGCCAAGAAAGTTGACGTGAAAAGATCTTATCCTTAACATGCACTTGATGGATACGTGTATACATTGAACATCTAGTTCTCTGTAATTAGACCGCAGTGAACAGTGAACTGTGAAAGGACTTGCCCACAAAGCAAAGATAAGACACATATTTATTTGAATATAGATGATCTGACTGGTGAATTATTTCAATTCAGGAAAGCAAAGAGTTCCAATCGAACGTAGCGAGAACAATGGCGGTCTTTGGTGAGACAGGAACAGTCTCGAAGACGGAACACCTGTAATCAGTGGCGTAGTCAGGATCTAAAGTTGGAGGGGGGGGGGATCTGGCAACGCCGTGCGTCGCGAAGCTTTGGCGAGGGGTCTGGGGGTCCTCCCCCAGAAAATTTTGAAAATTTTGGCTCCATTTCCTGCATTTTGAGCGTATTTTGAAGGGGAATAACGACACAATAATACTGGGAAAAGTCGATAAAATGTATTGAAATAAATCAAAGTAGAAAAGATACAAATGGAAACAAAATAATGTCGGAATACATGTACATAACAATCCCCCCCACGTTTCACAAAAGTCACCTCTGGGACAATTGGGGGGCAGGGGGCAGGGGGCAGTTGCCCCTCCCCCCCCCACCCGACCCCCACCATTGGTATAAATGTTGCTTATTTTACCAATAATCACGTTTAAATCGTTCCAATAAGTAGGGAACCATTGCACCAGATTTCATAATCGCAACATTGTTCAACTTGAACAAGTGTTATAACGACAATGGTAACGCTGGTAGAACACGCGTTTCATAACAATTACAATGTTATAACAATTGTTTCGTAACTATGACAACAGTAAATAAATGCTGTTTCGACCTTTACTCTTGTTCTTCATATTTTCTCTTTTCCGTTCACCAACTATCTTTTATGAAGCATAAACAAACGACTGATGTGAATGGATCAGAGCTCCATCCGTGTAGATACTATTTGGTCGCCTGCGACAAAAATCCTAATTTTCAGCAAACTTGAAATGTTATATTGTCACAGAGTGGATAAACAAATCAAGCCACTTTTGCAGAACAATTAATTTCCAGACATTATGGTTCAGGTATCTAACAAGTAGGAATGTTGTGAATTTTGCATTTAGCTAGGTATTTTATAGGCAATTACAACCCACACATTACAGGAGTGATATTTCCTATCCAACATTTTATTTGTTTCTCCGATTAGTTCTCATTTTTTGAGAATTTGCTGTAAAATTTTCATGCTTTGTCCTGTTCAATTAGAAATAAAAATACTTTTATATTCCATACACGTTTTCCTCGTATTTTTGTCAAAATGTTTTCTTCCGTTGAATTTTGAAGAATTATGAAAAATCATAAAAATCATGTTACATTCTGGATGTATCAGTGTCAAAATATTACAAGAAAGTTGTTTATAATTAATTGGTTACAAACTGACGTTAAACTACGAGAGAATCAAATTTAAACGACTTCAAAACTTCAGAATGCTGGGTAATTTGATGGAAGTGGTAGGAAGCGAGACCTATCATTAGTGGGATCCTTGTTTACGATAACTTTCACGAAGCTGGTGTATATTGGAAAGAATTAAACCTGTTTTTTTTCTTCTAAGTGAAATACAAAGTATTGTCCCGTACAATCCAAGATCTTTATATGTTGATGCTTATCAAAACAACAATATCCCCGAGAGCGTTGTGTGTGAAACGGTAAGTCTTCCATAACACATGGTTTGGGAACAGTTTTTTTTTCATTTCAGGTCGTCTTATAGTCTTTTGTATCAATTCAGATTGATATAACTGAAAGATCGTCAGGTGAAATAAAGGTTGGTAGAGACGTACAGACAAAAGCAATAACACAGGAAAATTAACTTCAATTCATTTTTAATAGAAACTTTTCTCATCAAATTTTAATAGCAACATCAGTATTATAATACACAATAGTTAACAACAGAAAGTTTTTCTTGTTCAGTTATTTTTGGCAAAAATATAAAATGAAATGATAACAAACTTTAAATTAAGTAGTTGAATTTAGTGAAAATGATAGCAAGTATAACAACATTCATTATATATCTTAATGTCTTAATGGTGATGTTTCAATACCTAGGGTTGAAATTGCTCGGAGACTGTCCATCTCCTTGTCGAACATTGAACGACTGATGGAGAGTTAGCTCCCCTCTTCAGAGTTATCTCCCGTGTTTTGCGATGAAAGTCGCCTTTATATACATATCACAATGTGGTCCCTCACTATTTCGGACACTTTCTATTATAAGAGTAATTAATTTCCAATAAAGTTATGCCAATTAAAATTACAAAGTATCGAGAAAACCAGTCATATCACAATCTGTTCAACAGGGTCGATTCTTATCATTTTTATGGTACAATTTCAATTTGAAAGATGGCGACATTTAATTGCAAACGCTCTCATCATTCATTTGATATCTTCAAAAGCTTTTTCGTATTTATCTCCGATACAATATCTACGAGGAAGAGACAGCGGGAGTTGAGGTGAGGACAATACAATACTTATAACAATGGATCGAGAGTCGGTATGAAAATGATTTCTATGAATCTTGATAATATTTGGTCCCACGCTATCTGACACATGTAAAACATGGACAGAGGAATACGAGGAAATGTAATGAATGATGAACAGATTAACAGCGAAATAAATCAAAATCTTTAACATAAGAAACCGTTTCGTTTGAAATCCTTAAAAAACGGTTGAGACTTTTAAAGCGGCTGAAAATGTAATTTACCTCCTTGACAGTAAATTCATTAACTATGACAGTATCTTTCTATAATGAATTATCCCGTAGCAACCAAATACTTGTTTCAAAATTTAATTTTAAAATAATAATGCAATATTGAATAAAGATGAGCGACAGATGAAAGAAGCACGTGTCCATACAGGTAATCCATATTTACCTGAGAACAATTAATCACTAAAATTGCATATATTTAAAACCTTTGCGACCTTCATCATTGTAAGGTTGTTAAGAAAATTTACTTAGAATGGCATCTGATACACTGACACACTAAGTATATATACAGTATTACAGTATTTGTGTGAAACGAAAAAAATCAACAAATATACAAACTTCAAATAAAATATAATTAGGTATATATTAAAATACTGTTAATACTGTCAGCCCCGTAGTAAGCGATGTTTGTGTGGTCACTTGTCATGGGAGTCACGCGGCAGATTTTATAGGGTAAAAATTTCATTCGCCGATGAGATTCTTGTTTTCAAACAGAATTTATCAAATACAATGCAACATATCTAAAAATTATGATTTAAAAAACAGTAATCTATTCAAATATTTTTTGTGAAAGAGTTTACATAAGACATGTTAAATGAGAACATTCGACTCCAGCACACTCCCACTTCACCCTCACGCACGCTCTTCATACCTTTACAGCTCTCATCACGTCGGTAGGAAAATATCAGAATATCAAATAAATTGTTTAACTTTACTAAAATGTCTGGTAAAATCAAGATCGCGGTATGAATTCTTCACTTGAATATCTAAAATCAATCACTCATAAAAATATACAAAAATGACGAAATATGTGACAATATCATTTGATTAACGTTAACCCATGAAATCAGCGGATTATGGCTAGACTTTGATTGTGCTCGTTTTAACAGTGGAAGTTATAAGTTTTTTTTTCTATTGACGCCACGCTAGACTCATCAATATCAATCTAACAAAAATCGTGCTTGCTAATTCGAGAGCAAAGGGTGACATGACTTGTGCCGATTAATGTCTTTAAGTTAGATTAGTTAATGCCTTGTTACAAGCAGCAAGTATAGCAAGTAAACAATTTAGTACTTTGCGGAAGACTAGGCGAAACAAAAGCCACCATTCCTTCCTACCTCGCATCACGGACTCAACAGGACCTAAACAAGAGTAAACTGATCAAAACACGTGTCTTTCTCTCGTGTGCCTATGTGTTCAATATACCGCCAACGCATTTTTGTTTTCTCGTTGTCAACGTGGCTATTTCCGGTTAATTCATAGCCACTTCCGGTTCAATTCTAAACCGCTTCCTGAGCCGATGCGATGATTGAAGTATCATTGGTCGATTGTCATGATTACTTGTGTAATGTTTACATTACACACATGACCGTTACAGGGAAGACGTTTAACCTTTTACATAGACACGCTTCTGTACTCAGTGACCGTATGAAATATATATAATCAAACGAAATACGAGAATAAGACTGAAACATAAAAAAATAAAAGAACTACATTTTTAAACTGTCTGGAGATGAAACGTCACCACGCCTGTAGTCGGAAATCACTTGACGCGGCGAGAGGCTCCGTTGTTTGTATGTCTCTACATCGAAGAACACCTCGAAGCTGAGTAATAATTCACTGTTGTCACGGAAGACCCCCGACGTGCCCAGCCAGGCGTGAAGGTTTGACGATCATAGTGGTACGATCACCGTCACAGCCCCTTGATACATAAATAAGGATGGCCTGTCTCCGGGCGGCCACGTCAGGGACCCAAACGCATGGTTAGCTTCAATCACAGCCGGTAAAATATTTAAGGATTGTCAAATCATATCAACTTTGCTCGACCACTGAACAGAATTTAGTTCAAGCTGCCTTACTATTAGGGCAACATTCCACGATATGTTTTTCAAACATAACCAATCAAATAAAACACGCACACACATAACTGAAGTTGAGCTTGAAAAGTGACGGAAAAAGAAAGTAATCTATATTTAGTTCACAGCATGGCATTGATAACGGCATGGTTTGGAGGTTTGAAGGAAAAAAGATACATTTCGAAGCGAAAAACAAAGCTGTCAAATGAGCGTTAAGTTTTAGAAGGAAAGATTATATAGAACGAAAGGTTGAGCAAGAGAGTAAACGAAGAGGTTTAACGACCGAGAGTGAAATTGATACTGGTATAAAGAGTTAAATGTACCTGAAAATACCATGTCATGAAAAAGTAAATTAACATAATCACAGCCATGACTCAGAGTGTGGAGCTCTCGAGCCACGTGTTCGGAAATGAATACTATAATAGAACAAACGTCTTCATCCGTCGTAACACTATGTACACATGGGGCTACAGACCTATGACGCACGGGGAAAAAGTCTTATAAAAATGTATGTACAACATGAGAGTGATCGGGAAGGAACAAGACATTGAACAAATGATGTACAATCGTTATTAAAAATATTTCCGAGATCTCGACATCAGTTAACTGTACAGTACAACACAGCTTTCATATCGAATAAGGATAAGGAATATGCTCCATCCAAGATGTTTTTACTGTGACGCCCAAGTCACACTAAAAAATACACTATGACCTTGAAATGACTTGTTCCACATAAATGTCCAAACATCTCCCGACGAGGTAGTTAGCTGTCGCATGTAATCAATCGAATACACATTCAGCATAAGCTAACGACGCACTGTAATCCTTTTTGTGCGAGGTTCCCTTGAACACCCGGGGAAACGTGTATTCGATGACAACAAAACATCACACGTGGCCCTGATTTAACATATCTCAAATTACGTAAATTATACTCTAGCAGCACAAACTCAAATAAACGTTCACTTTGCGCCGAGAATTTCGTCCAGCCAATTGGCGTCATTATTCCCATCTGAACTCTGTACCGTTATTCCATCGATAAAGTCAGAGTTACCAGTCTGTGCACTATCTAATAAATTTATAAAATCCTCCTGATGTCCGTGCGTGCCCCCTGGTGTCGCGTTATAACCAGCAGGATTAGCGTCCATAGATGGCGCCATTGTACCGGAAGCGCCAGGAATAGGCCCTCGAATGTTCATCCTTTGAGAAATTTGCATATTCTGTTGTTGCATCATCATCTGCTGTGTACTACCTTGCATCATTGCAGCCTGTTGAGACTGCATTGCACTCATTTGCATCGGTCGAGTTTGCCTTTGCATTTGAATACCGGCGACTGAGTTCATTGTACCACATTGATTTGTATAAGAGCCGTATTGCATCATACTTGCGGCTGACATCTGAGGTCGACTCATTGCACCCGGTCCGCCCTGGTGGGGCGGTCCTGCATACCGAGGTCCCTGCGGGCCGGGTACCATTTGTCGTGGCCATTCGTGCTGAGTGCGAGGCTGAGATATGTTGAGGCCATCAGGACCTACGTTCACGTTAGGCGGTCTCTGGTTACGCATTATTGCACTGGTATACGTCGTTCCCCCTGGTCGCGGTTGTCGCGGCTCTTGAGCACTATTCTGCGTTCCTGGGTACGACTGTTGACGCTGAATAGACGGCTGACCAGCGTACGGCGCAGACGCGCCCGGCACCGGACTCGCACTAACAGGGCCTGGCATTCCTACCGCCGGACCAGCAGAGTTCATTCTCTGTAATGTTGACATTTGTGCACTTTGCATCATTCCATTATGCATTTGAACAGAACCACTTTCACTTTTGATTTGTCCATACCCTGCCGTTTGCATGGTATTAGTTTGGTTCACCATATTTTGCATTGTTTGTAGCGGATTTGACCCTACACCGTTTGGTGTATAGCCCTCGGGCGCCCCCTGACTTGACGGTTGCATCTTGTACTCCGGCGGTGGCCGGCCCATGTACTGCTGCATTTGTGCTGCTTGTCGGTCAATCATTGTTTGCTGTTGTTGTGTGTGCTGTTGCTGTGAGCGTTGTTGTTGAGCATGTTGCTGCTGCTGTTGTTGAGGATGGGTAGGTTGTGAAGGATGCGACTGTTGCTGTTGTTGTTGATTTGGATGCTGAGACGGAGCGGTGTGTTGTTGCTGTTGTTTTCTCATTTTTTCAACCATCTCCATATTCATTTGTTCGTTCATGTATTGTGACTGGTTTGGAGTCATGTTGCCACCTGGCATAGAAAATGACTGGTGTTGCGACATCGCTATCTGATGCGGCGGTCGCATCTGTAATTGTTGTGTCTGCGACATTTGCATGCGGTGAGGACCGTCAGAAACCTGCATGTGTTGTGTTTGTGTAATTTCCATTTGTGTTCCCTGGTCGAAATGTGCTTGTACCTGGTTTTGAAGTTGTTGTAATGATGAAGGTGTCGCTGGCTGAGAGGAGCCTTGTGGTGTTGAGTAATGAGAAAGGGGTTTCGTCCCACCATACGTCAAACTCATATCAGCCTTGCCCTGACCGTACGGCACCGGTCCGCGCATACTGTTAATACCATGTTGTTGGCCTAGATAACCGGCCTGCTGCGATGAAAGAAAATGCTGTTGTTGATTCATGTTCGGTGGGTAACCATTTTGGCGGTAATTGGTGTTTGTCTGAGAAAAGGTGTCTTCCATCGTCTTCATGCCGTACACGTCTTGTTGAAGACTTTGGTGCTGGGCTGCCATTTGTTTGAGGGTCTCGGCAGCCGGCCCGGTCTCACTTAAATGTGACCGGAAGTTCTGTGGCATTGGGGGAGTTCTTACTGGATTCAAGTTTTGATTAGAGTCATACCCAGTAGGAGTCGCGTCAGGATATGGTCCAGGGCCTTTTTGAAGCACCGGAGAAGTGCTAGTCATGTTAAACATTTTGTCCTGGCTATCATTACTGTCTTCTTGTAACACTTTAGTATAAATTTGATCAAACTTTTTCAATTCCTCAATCAATTCGTCACTAATCTCACTATCACCGTTATCGATTGTGTTTAGAATATCATCTAACTCGGCTTGGTTAAGAATATCCGACGAATTATGACTGGAGTCAGACTGATTAGAACCACCACATGGAATATCGTCAGCGCCTTGCTCCTGTTTACACTCAAAGCTCGTGCTAGTTTCGACGTTTGCTGAGGACTGCGCACTTCCCTGTTCGGGAGGTGCCCCAGAATAGTGTGTTTTGACTGTGGTGCTAACGTTCACATTTGTTTGGATTTTTTGGTCTGGGTGGGAATTGCCACTAATCTGTTGGACGATATGCACAGAAACGTCAAGGCCCTGTGATCCTGCGTTCACGGTCTTCTTTGTTGTAGTTGTGTCACTGTCGTCGAAGTCAAATGCGCTGGTGTCCACTGGAGGGTTTTCCGTCTGGCTGCTATCGATCTTCTTTTTCAGACGTTGCTGCAAGAAAAAAAGAAGAAATGGATTATTAGCACACATCATTCTACATTATGGGGAATGTTCGTTTATGAACCTAAAGACATGTTCTTCAAACTATGAGGAATGTTCATTTATAAACCTAAAGACGTGTTCTTCAAACCATGGGAAATGTTCGTTTATGAACCTAAAGACATGTTCTTCCAGCTATGGGAAATGTTCGTTTATGAACCTAAAGACATGTTCTTCAAACTATGGGGAATGTTCATTTATGAACCTAAAGACATGTTCTTACAGCTATGGGGAATGTTTGTTTATGAACCTAAAGACATGCTCTTACAGCTATGGGAAATGTTCGTTTATGAACCTAAAGACATGTTCTTCAAACTATGGGGAATGTTCATTTATAAACCTAAAGACGTGTTCTTCAAACCATGGGAAATGTTCGTTTATTAACATAAAGACATGTTCTTACAGCTATGGGGAATGTTTGTTTATGAACCAAAAGACATGTTGTTAAAGCTATGAGGAGTGTTCGTTTATTAACATAAAGACATGTTCTTCAAACTATGGGGAATGTTTGTTTATGAACCTAAAGACATGTTCTTCAAACTATGGGGAATGTTCATTTATAAACCTAAAGACGTGTTCTTCAAACCATGAGAAATGTTCGTTTATGAACCTAAAGACATGTTCTTCCAGCTATGGGAAATGTTCGTTTATGAACCTAAAGACATGTTCTTCAAACTATGGGGAATGTTCGTTTATGAACCTAAAGACATGTTCTTACAGCTATGGGGAATGTTTGTTTATGTACCAAAAGACATGTTCTTCAAACCATGGGAAATGTTCGTTTATGAACCTGAAGACATGTTCTTCCAGCTATGGGAAATGTTCATTTATAAACCTAAAGACGTGGTCTTCAAACCATGGGAAATGTTCGTTTATTAACATAAAGACATGTTCTTACAGCTATGGGGAATGTTTGTTTATGAACCAAAAGACATGTTGTTAAAGCTATGAGGAGTGTTCGTTTATTAACATAAAGACATGTTCTTCAAACTATGGGGAATGTTCGTTTATGAACCTAAAGACATGTTCTTACAGCTATGGGAAATGTTCATTCATGAACCTAAAGACATGTTCTTCTAACTATGGGAAATGTTCGTTTATGAACCTAAAGACATGTTCTTCTAACTATGGGGAATGTTCGTTTATGAACCTAAAGACATGTTCTTCTAACTATGGGAAATGTTCGTTTATGAACCTAAAGACATGTTCTTCTAACTATGGGAAATGTTCGTTTATGAACCTAAAGACATGTTCTTCTAACTATGGGGAATGTTCGTTTATGAACCTAAAGACATGTTCTTACAGCTATGGGAAATGTTCGTTTATGAACCTAAAGACATGCTCTTACAGCTATGGGAAATGTTCGTTTATGAACCTAAAGACATGTTCTTCTAACTATGGGGAATGTTCGTTTATGAACCTAAAGACATGTTCTTCTAACTATGGGGAATGTTCGTTTATGAACCTAAAGACATGTTCTTCTAACTATGGGGAATGTTTATTTATGAACCAAAAGACATGTTCTTCTAACTATGGGGAACGTTTATTTATGAACCAAAAGACATGTTCTTACAGCTATGGGGAATGTTTGTTTATGAACCTAAAGACATGTTCTTCTAACTATGGGGAATGTTCGTTTATGAACCTAAAGACATGTTCTTCTAACTATGGGAAATGTTCGTTTATGAACCTAAAGACATGTTCTTACAGCTATGGGAAATGTTCGTTTATGAACCTAAAGACATGTTCTTCTAACTATGGGGAATGTTCGTTTATGAACCTAAAGACATGTTCTTCTAACTATGGGGAATGTTCGTTTATGAACCTAAAGACATGTTCTTCAAACTATGGGGAATGTTCGTTTATGAACCTAAAGACATGTTCTTCTAACTATGGGAAATGTTCGTTTATGAACCTAAAGACATGTTCTTACAGCTATGGGAAATGTTCGTTTATGAACCTAAAGACATGTTCTTCAAACTATGGGGAATGTTCATTTATGAACCTAAAGACATGTTCTTACAGCTATGGGGAATGTTTGTTTATGAACCAAAAGACATGTTCTTACAGCTATGGGAAATGTTCGTTTATGAACCTAAAGACATGTTCTTCTAACTATGGGGAATGTTTATTTATGAACCAAAAGACATGTTCTTCTAACTATGGGGAACGTTTATTTATGAACCAAAAGACATGTTCTTACAGCTATGGGGAATGTTTATTTATGAACCAAAAGACATGTTCTTCTAACTATGGGGAACGTTTATTTATGAACCAAAAGACATGTTCTTACAGCTATGGGGAATGTTCGTTTATGAACCTAAAGACATGTTCTTCTAACTATGGGGAATGTTCGTTTATGAACCTAAAGACATGTTCTTCTATCTATGGGGAATGTTTGTTTATGAACCAAAGACATGTTCTTCTAACTATGGGGAATGTTTGTTTATGAACCTAAAGACATGTTCTTCTAACTATGGGGAATGTTCGTTTATGAACCTAAAGACATGTTCTTCTAACTATGGGGAATGTTCGTTTATGAACCTAAAGACATGTTCTTCTAACTATGGGGAATGTTTGTTTATGAACCAAAAGACATGTTCTTACAGCTATGGGAAATGTTCGTTTATGAACCTAAAGACATGTTCTTACAGCTATGGGGAATGTTCGTTTATGAACCTAAAGAAACGATCTTCAGGCTTGCACTACTTAGGTAGTTTGCACGCATTTACAAGTAAAGCAGTAAGACATTTCGAATACTGATTTTTATTTAACTCGCTCTCCAATGATAAAATAATCAATTTTAATGTCAATAACGTGTTTGCTGTCAGTGCATCATGAGTTGATGCACATTTTCAATGACAAGGTCAAAGAATATTAATACTTGGTAATAATACCACATAAAAACAAGGAATCTTTTTGCTTATATGACCGTGCATGCGTGTATGATGTGATTGTCGATGTCTGCATGATGACTGTATTCATTAATTGAATATAAAGTGTGAGCAATGTGCATAATTTCTGTATGGCGTGACTATTCGTGTGTATGAAAGTATTATGTACGTTTGTGATATACCAGTCTTAGCTATTATTTACAAGAAAAACAACAACACGTTTGTATCACTTGTTTAAACGCTAACAATCTTAATGTAAAATATATTTAAATAAATCTGTATTTCTAGTAAATATTTGAATTGTGGTCGAGTAAACACGGTAATTTCATAACACGAGACACCTCGTACAATGAGAGAGATGTGCATCCTCTAATGATATATCTTGTGTGTGTTATCTTAATCTTTACGTCTGTTTACAATTTTACATATTTCAAGTGGATCGGTATAAATGTGTACCACAGCGAGGGCCAGGTCCGATAATCTCAGTCAACACCCTCTCAGCCAGCAGCTGCTCCGTGGCCAGACTCTCGCAGATGGTCCGAATATACACAGACATGTTTATTCAACAAATGCATGCTGCGCGAACACGAGCAGTGCGGAAAGTAACGCATATTGTACGACATTAAACATTGCCCAACATTTCAAAAATTGAAATAAACAATTTACAGCATAGATGGAGAAATATTTGTTTACAAATCTTAGTGATGAGGTAATTAAGTATGGACAGATTACCATCGATAGAGTCTGAAGCGGCCCAGTCCGAATAAAATTAAAGTTGTGATATTATCTTTCCAGAACATCTGACTATGGTGTCGATATGTTTTAACGCTGTCGACACCTCGATCATGCTACCTGCTTCTACGTGTACTTTCTATCAGCCTGGAGAGAACATGTTTAAGTAGCATACAAGAGAAAATTTAGCATATTCAAAGACAAATATCTAAGTATTTCACCTTATTCATAACAATAAAACATTCACACACACTTTTTTGTTTTTGTTTTCATAAACTGATAAGAATGGGGTCGAATTTTCAGAACAGGAAGAAAGAACACCTTAAACGGTGGTTGTGAACATTCGCCTTGTTATAGAAGTAATTAGGTGCATGTAGTTAGGTCTAAGGTAACAAAGTTTGTCTGAACTATCGAGAGTATCGTTTTCACTACTATTCATATGTGCGTGAGTTTACTAAAAAAAATCTTGAAGCATTAAGGATGTACAATGAATTTATCCTTGAATTTCACTTTCAATGCATCTTGATTTTCGCTGCGATTATACTTCAGTCTCGGAAATAGTGACTAACCCTTAACAGTAACAGTCCGAGTTACCCGAGGCATTTCTTTAATTTTTATCCAATGCTAGACTAGTCTCAAATTCGTCGTCCATGACCCCCTCCTTGATCCAGACTACCAGACCAGATCTACAGTGGTGGTGATACAAGCCTCGCAGCCCACAATCAATTCACAGTTTACCTCAGCAGTTCAATACTGTCTAGTGTTGGAATGAAATGGAGACTATAAATTGGACAAGTTACTCTAAAGGAAAGCATTCACATATATAATGTAGTACTTTAGACAAAATAATCCCAATTCTAAAAATAATATCTAAGATATGAAATGATAAAAAGATGACATCGAGTAACTCTGGCATTTTTTACCCGATATTTGTGTGGCGTGACCAAGTTTGTTGACGATTTGTTGGGAAATGTGACAATGATAATTAATATTGGTTGTTTAAACAATAAAAAACGAACACTTCTCTGACTTCTGTGTATAAAAATCCCATCAAAATTCATCACAGGTGTGACAATGCATTAGGATGCGACAGTGCGTATGCGGATGACGTGTATGTACTTCATATGCCCCTCAGTAACCTTCACCAAATGGTGACGGTTTAATCAGTCAATCATTTACACATAATTTTGTATTGTCCTTGTGGACTAGTCACCGACCGAAGTAGACTTTGACCTGTATGACTTTGACCAATGTATAATCCGTTTGTATGATTCTTCTACATATATTAACTATCATTTATTATTAGTCCGGGTGTAAGCGAAAGTC